AGTTTTGTTTTTTGAGAACATTGATAAATGTATATTTTAAATCTTCACGTTAACTTATCAATTTAAAATATTTAAATTTAAAATTCTATAGTAACTAAAAGTAATAATCAATAACCTTCAGACGTCAGTTTAGACATTTTTAATTTTTAATTAATAATTTAAATACAGAGGTCGCTCTCGGATTTATTTCCGTATATCCGAGCTTCCTAATTCATTTTACTTCAAAAATGTAAGTCAAAAACAGCTGTTGTCGTTACTGTATGTGGTAACCATGTTTTATACAAAATTTTTGATGTGAATTATACATATGTATAAGGGTTAGACCCAAGATCTGTGGCCTACAGAGCCCGATCTTTGTTTTTTAATATGTCGTTTGTCCACAATTTTCCTTCTATGAAATATTTATTGCCTAATTGACGTAAGTTTTTTCTATCATTGTATTTTATATAAAAAATTTACTTAACGTTATTTTAGGATAGCTCTGATGATGACATTTATTATGTCGAAAGTATACTCAGCTTAATTTAATAAATTATTTTACACACTATCAATTTTATTGAAAACATACAAAACCTGCTTACCAGTTAGATCTATTTAGAAGTGTGTACAAGTCTTACAGTCTTTTTCAATTAATTAGCAATGAGTCTCATTACGCCGCAACTTAAACGTCTTCTAGAAATGGTTATGTTACCATTTCTAGACTAAAAGAAATATGGGAGATCCCTAAGGTATCTACGCAACATAGCTAGTATGACGTTCCAGGCAGATATCATTTTTGTCCAGGCAGATGTCAACAGAAAAACGAAGACCCTATGCGTACATAAGTTTAAAATAAAAGATTTTTGGTTTATATTTAAGTTCTACTTATTTTTTTATTAATTAAAACCAAAACTATGTATGCGGTCGATTTGACCGTGCGCGTGTTACTACGTAAGTTTTTTGCTTGTAATGACGGGTTAAAGTTATAAAAGTATTATAAACAAGTTGGTCTTCAATAAAGTTATTTGAAAGGAGTGTAACAATATGTAATTTTATGCTCATCACTTTGTAGTGTTTAAAGTCAAAATAAATTTTACAGTTGTTTGTGGATATAATTGCTAAATTATTAAGCCTTAAGTTGCAACATATACATACTAAAAGTAAAATTTATTTAAAATTATACATAATTTCGTATGACCTCTTAATAAGATTACTGATAATACAAAGCCCAATCCTGCATTTACACACAAACACATACACCATTAACAAAGTGCAAGAATCCGAATGCCTGGTCTGGCGGTTGTAGAAGGAATGTAATCGATGCTAGCCACTTTACCCGCGTGGAATTCCTGCCTCTACGCTTCGGCTCTTCAGCTCTCTACAGGCTGATGTTTGGTCGTATTTGGCTTTGGAAATTTGAAACCGACAACGTGTCACAGGGATGCTTGTCGGTATTAAAATGGGACCCTCATCCTACAAGTATCCGATGATAGTGTTTTTCGACTCATCTCAAGTTAACTGTTCCCACTAATGGTGCATAATATAAGTAAATACGGATATTTATGTATCGATGAGATTGCGAGCGAAATAGATGTTTGTTTAAATTAGTTATTGTTTGCAAACAATTGTTCTAAATTTTATTGGATATTTCTGTGGATTAAAATATTCATTCTTTGTTCATACTTATACTAATAAATTAATCCTACTTTACTAACGTAAAGGATCACATTTGGCGTATCATCCAATGGGTCAAACACTCAACAATTAAGATAGAATAAAACAACTGTTCATATTATGTTATTGAAGTAGAAGAACAAAACCAGAGAAAAAGAAGTGTTGCATTTTCAATTTATCACTGCTACCAACCTAAAATATAGTAACATTTGATTTCTCCGCATGTTTAACTATAATAAAATAAACTAAAAGACCAACAAAATAGTTACTTATGTAACAAGTCGGTAAAGAGTCTAATATTACGAGCAGAGTGAGCTATTCGAACGAGGCGAGTAACAGACGAGTTCGATAAAGAGTGTTTACTGGCGTAGTGCATACAAATTTTATCGCCAACCATAAAAACATTAAAACAAATACCCATATTTTGTGTAATCTTTTTATTGTTTACTGTATACTGAAACCAGCTCAACAAAGTTTGATAACATAGGTCAGAGTCTAAAAAACATTGAATGACAGAAGAAATACTATTACAGATGGAAGAAAGAACGAAATATAAAGGAAAAACATTAACAAATACCCATATTTTGTGTAATCTTTTTATTGTTTACTGTATACTGAAACCAGCTCAACAAAGTTTGATAACATAGGTCAGAGTCTAAAAAACATTGAATGACAGAAGAAATACTATTACAGATGGAAGAAAGAACGAAATATAAAGGAAAAGATCTACAGAAGTATAAAGAAATACAACGAATAATTAAGGAAAATATCAAAACAGCTAAGGAAATCTATTTGATGAAACAATGTAAAGAAATAGAAGAACTAGAAACAAAATATGATATGAGAAATATGCACAAAAAAAAATAAGAGAAGTGACTGGAATGGGTCGAAATAGACAGCAAGGACATATAAAAGCCAAAAAGGAGTACTACTAATAGATTTACCAGAGAAATTAAGACGATGGGATGAGTACGTTAGAGAACTTTTCCAAGATGAAAGAGGTAAAATGCAGAAAATACAAGAATTAAATCCTTTAGAGAGACAGATCACAATAGATGAAGTCAAATATACTATCAAAAACTCTAAAGACAATAAGGCAGCTGGATTAGATGAAATATCAGTAGAACTGGTAAAACTAGTGGAAGAGGATAACTTGGAAGTATTGGCAGATTTATTCAACGCGGTGTACGATACGGGAATAATACCACAAGAGCGGCTGAAGTCAGCATTTATAACCATCCCTAAAAACAAGCAGCAAAAGAGTGATCTGATTATCGAACACTGAGCCTTATAAGTCATACTTTAAAAGTACTGCTGAAAGTAATACATAAGAGAATATACAAAAGAGAAGTTCGGGTTCCGAAATGGAATGGGTACTCGAGAAGGACTATTTGACATCCACATATTGATTCAGCGATGTCGGGATGTAAACGTTGATCTATAATCTATACTTATGCTTTGGTGACTACGAAAAAGCTTTCGATAAAGTAAGACATGAAAAACTAATATCAATACTTATTGTTACGATTTTAAATGTTATGGCGTATAGAACTGTCAAAATCTACCTGAGACACGTTGGGTTCCCCTTCGCTATAAAAACGACGAATAAGAGTTTTCTGGAACCGCACCGATACCAGTTTTTAGATCATTGCCGCTCTGTCTACGAGGGCCTCGTATTTTCGACAACATTCTATTTACCAGTCTATTCGATGGGGTTCCGTTATAATGAAGAAGGTCATCGATCTTTCTAGATAACGGAAGTTTATGTATGTAAATGAAACATTTTATTTGGAGGGTTAGTAAGAAGATAAATTCGTGCCGCGTATCTAAATGTACGAACGTAATATAAAGTTGTACAGTTAATTAATAAATTGATAATAAATTATCGTGAGTTTTAATAAATTAGAATAAAGACAATAAATTAGAACTATAAAAATATATCTAACATTATGAACATGCACATTGACAGTAAAATCATAAATATAGTGCAAACATTATATTGGATCCAAAGTGCCATAGTTAAAATTGATGGGCAACACTCAGAAGAAATGAAGATCTGTAGAGAAGTTAGACAGGGATGTGTTTTATCTCCACTTTTTTTAACTTATATTCTGAAGAAATGTTCCAAAACACGCTCAATAATATCAAAACGAGAGTTACCGTTAACGGAAAATTAATTAACACTTACGATATGCAGAGATGGGAATTATTATAAACTCTAGAAAAACGAAGTACATGCTAATTACAAAAAAGACCACAAAATATACATCACCTATTAACAATCAATTGTAACGTGATAGAACTAGTAGAAAAATATCAGTATGTATAATCACCACTATACCAAATCAGAAAACTGGAATACCTAGGCCATGTGATGAGGAGACCAAGATATAAAATTTTGATACTCATAATACAAGGAAAGATTCAAGAAAGAAGATCTGTTGACCGAAGGTAGAACTCATGGTTGAAGAATCTACGTGATTGGTATCAATGCAGATCGATTAATTTGTTTATAGCAGCAAGTTCAAAAATAAAAATAGCCATTATGATTGCCAACCTCGGTAGGGAGACGATACTCTAAGAAGAAGAACCCTAATTTGCGACCATTTTACTCAGGAAAACTTATATTATCACATTAAGAAAAAAATTAGCTTCAATTTGATATTATAATTAAAAAATCCTTATAATTAAAAATCATTATAATTAAAAAATAAATGAGTGAAATAAAATTTTGGTCAAAAAATAAACTGTTCATAATAAAACTGTTAATTGAATTAAAAATATTTGCGGCCACTTTTTGACTGGCAACCCATTATCAATGAATTCTCCTCTTCTTAAATGTATAGGTTTAAAAAGGTTAGAAAAAAATACGCAAACTATTGACAGTGCTTTAGCTGAACATATTATTTTATCCAATAAGTTATTTAATGAAGAAGTTATAAAAAAAGAATTTTATTTTCATGTTTAAGTTGATGTTACGATTACTTTAGCAAAACAAGAACTTGCATTTTGCGGTCGGGATGAGTCCCATAATTATTCAAATGTCGGTAGTTCTAAATAAATGGTTAATTTTACAGTTAAACGCAATCAGGAAATCCAGGATCATTCTAAAAAACAGATGGAGTATACACGGTTTTGTCAAAAACAATACAAAACGATTTAATAGATTTTGCTGATTGGGTAAATAAAAAATAAAATTTCTAGAGAAATTATTGAAGCTCGTGATATATACCTACACTTGGCTAAATTTAACCGCGACTTGAGACTTCTTCGATCATAGTATTTATGGTATTTCTACGTTTAACATTAATTTTTGCTGTAATATTAATCATATTGATGTTGATTTTTCACATACTTGCAAATCTAGGGTCTGCCGCTGAGGTTTGGTACCATCCAGAAGAATAATGGGGAGTAAGACCTAAGTTTTCGGAGACAGGACAGTACTGGCCTCCGCCGAATTGGCCCATTACTGGATAACTGCCGTTCATACTGCAGCCGTTACCACCGGAACCACTAATCCCAGGAGAGTTTATACTGCTACCGCTTGAAGTTGATCTAAAATTAAAAAAACAACTGTTATTCATTGTTTGACTACTTTTAATAATTTTTAGATAAAACATATGCCATAATATTTAATAAGGTACGATACGTTAATAATACGTCACCAGTACGAAGTTGCGTCACCTACGAGAATAGAATTTTTTAATTAAATTGAGAGGCAATTTCTTCTAAAGAAAATATTGAATATATACAAAAAATTAGCCAATATTAAGAATCTGTTGTTCTTGCGGTTTTCTTAGGAATTAATGATATTTATAATACAGCTGTTTCTACAGAAAAATCTACGCGTTCAATAAATTTGAGGAAAACATGGTGATTTGTAGTCAATAAAACTCTCTTTATGAATTTATTTATATTTTTTTGGTGCGCTCCAAGGGTCCATAAAAAATACGTTCCAAAATAGGAGTATTTTATTTTTCTATATACCTATGAATCTATTCTTTTAAAAAATCAAAAAAATCATGTTGATTAGTTGTTTTGTTGTTAGTATAACTACTTTTCTGAATTATCTCAATAATTTTAATTGAATACCCCTTCCTCTATATGATTTTTTGTCCAGAACTTGCTTTATAAGCTTCTAGAGATTATCTATCTATATAAAAGGCTAGTATGACACGTCACGCAGTTTGTCCCGAAAGATAACTCCTAGCGCCACCTAGGAAACAAATCTGAACTACCAACTGACATTTCCACCATATTTTGTTGTTCAAACGATACGGTTGATTCACTGCTAATTCATTTTACAAATTAATGATTCAAATATCCTTACTCGGAAATTTTACTACTTCTTCAATAGATAAATAATGTTTTCTTAAAATTGCTAAAAATATAAGTTACTGCAATTGTTAGGTAAGATTTAGTAAGCAAAATAATTAAAAGCTTTATGTTAGAGCTAAAGGAGCTATACCGTATCTGTCTACCTCATTTCCCATGTGAAATCCCATAAGAAATCGCTAAGGTGTATTTTGCTCATTTTTTGCGCGTTTTGTGGTGGGGGGTAAAATAGTTCGTCGAATCGTGACGTGTGATACATCATTGGAAAGAAAACGAGGTAGCGAATATGTTAAGACAGAAAAAACATACATGGCGACATTGCTAAAAGTTATTACAACATAATTTCCCTTATTATTGGTCCGATTGTAGGGTATAGAGTAAGGATGACATTAGGAGTTGACAATCAAAACACCCGAGATATTAAAATACAGAGAGGAGTCCGCCAGGGTTGCGTGTTATCACCTCTACTCTTCAATGTCTACAGGGAAGCGATATTTAAAAAAGCCCTCTCAGATTCAATAGAAGGTATACCTATCAATAGGGAAGTTTTGAATAACTTGAGTTTTGCAGTCGATACAGTAATAATGACGGATGACAACTGTCATGAATACGGACTAAGGATAAATTTGAAAAAAAAAACTAAATGTATGATCATGGATAAATCAGCAGATGCAAACATTCAATTGATTGTTAAGGATACTGTATTTGAGAGTATGAATACCTACAAATACTTAGGAACACGGATAACATCAAACGTAGACCAAACTAAATAAATTAAGACACGTATTTAAATAGCACTTAAGTACATCATTCGTTAAACTTAAAAAGTTTCTTTGTTGTCGGGATATAAGGTTAGGACTACGCCTAAGAATGCTTTGATGCTACGTATTCACTAAACATTCTTTATGGCTTGGAAGCATGGACATTAAAACAAGTGCATCTAAATAAGTTGGTCGCCTTTGAGTTTTGGTGTTACAGAAGAATCCTACGAATTTCATGGACTTAAAGAATGTCAAACGCAGTCAAGTTACTCTAACAATAGGAAATGAAGCAGAAATAATATTGACTATCAAAAGAAGCAAATTTGAGTACTTACGCCGTTTTATGAGAGGGCAAAGACACTCAGTATTGCAGCTTATTATGTAAGGCAAAACTTGAGGAAAGCGAAATGTGCATAGCCATGATGATTTTCATTCTTCGATAGAAGATGGCACTTAAAGAAGAAGAATCATCGACATTATAATACCATTGTACCATTCGGATCTGAACCAGATTGAACCAGATTGAACTCGTTTGAACTGCACATAAAAATTTAAATGAAGTTATGGAATTATCGGACGAGTTTTTTGAAACATTTTTGTTGAAAAATATAAAAAATGTGATTTTGAGCTTATTTTTGTGTCAAAAGAACCTTTACTTGATTCAATTTTTGATCAAATAATAATTAATTTAGGTGAGGATGCAGCCAATAGTGATTCTGATGAAGATAGTTTGGATAGATAGATTCAGGTGGATTATATTTTTTTTTATTTTTGTTTAAAATACCAGTATCCTTGACAAGCCCCATATGACAAGAAGGGTTCGGTTTTTGAATGGAATAAGCAAGAGACCTGTGTACAAGAATGGATGGGTGAAGAGAACATAGCTGGACCTCAACTGAGATGAAGACAACAAGTGAAAGAAGACGTAAAGAGTATGGAAATTAGAAATTTACAAAGAGCAATTAAAGAGAAAGAAGAATGGAGAAAAGTAGTGGAAACAGCGACGACACACTAGAAACTGTAAAACCAATCCCAGGTCCCCCACAAAAAAGAATCTTCAAGTGAAGACAGCTTCAACTTCTTCGGGAGCTTATAGCTTGTATATATAGCGACCAAGAATATCACTTTTTCGGTTTGAATAAGGTTTTAACTTCCTACTACTTTTGTATTCTACAAATTTAAATTTGTGTGTAATATTGGAATAACAGAATAATAGAATAGAATAATATTAATATAACATTGGGAAAAGCTGGGAAAAACTCAAAAATAACATAGTTAACGCAGTAACAAAGTAACTTGGAAAGAGAAAAGTAGCAAACACTAACATATTAAAAAAGAAAATCCCGTGACATAGAGCCACAACATTAAAATTAACGACCAAAGTGATAACAAATAAACTGAATGAAATTATAACACTAACAGAAGATCAACAAGGTTTTAGGTCGGAAAGATCATGCACCGACGAGCGACGGTATATTTATAATGACGCAAGTGCGAGAGAAATCATTAGAATACAACAAACCGGCATATTTATGTTTCGTGGACCTTAAGAAGGTATTTGACTGGGTCAAATTAAAGGACGTTATCCACTTATTATACGCAAGAGAGACAGAGAGAGAAAACGATCGAAAATATCTACCAAAACAACACAATAAAAGTAACAGTCGAAGACGAACTAACTGACCATAATGAAGCTGGCAATGGGATGGCAGGGAGACAGAGAGATTCCCTGAGTCCTTTATTGGTCAATCTGATTATGGATTAAATAATTAAAAAATTAAGAACTAAAATAGGATACCAAATGGGAGAAAAACAACTTGAAATGATCTGCTATGCAGACGACGCAATACGACCCTCTCCAAGTCAAAATTATTTTCATTGCATTTTGTATTTTAATTAGATGTAAATTGGAGTTGTAAATTCAGATAATAGAACAAGTGATGGAGTTTAAATACCTAGGCATCAACTTATCTAGCTTCGAAACAGAAGTGGGAGATCACGTGAATAGAGCAATCAGAGGCGCAGATTGCCTGAATGAAACAATATGAGGAAATAAAAATATCGAGAAAGAAATGAAATTCAAAATTTATAAAACAGTCATCATACCAATAATGGCATACGCGGCAGAAACACGACCTGACACATATAGGAAAAAAGGATGTTAGAAACAGCAGAGTTGAAAAATTGATTGTAAAACACCATGTAACAGAGCTAGAAGTACCGATATACGACAAGAAAAAACAAATAGAGTAGTAAAGACGGCAAGAGACGGTTCCCCAATAGGAAGACCCCTAAAACGATGGAACAACAACTTACTGGAGGCACATTGAAAAACAGTCATGTCTGCATAAAAAGAAGAAGAGAACGATTTTAAATTTAAAATCAACCACAACCTGTGCGTACATATAATGAGCAATATACATTGTTTTCGTAATGTTTACATCACAACTAAATTTTGGACGCGGCAACACCGCATTCGGAACCACCATGACTACAATTCCATTATGTCTCTCTCATGAAACTTTCTTTTCTATTTATGTTTTCTATTTCTCGCTTGTCGTACTATACCAAGTAAATATTAAATTTTGAGAAAACCGCTTTACTAGGTAAATTACTTCCCAAAAATAAGGTTTGAAAACTTAACTAACCTATAGGGTGAAGGAGGATTTGTAGACAATTCCAGTTTTCGATATGATTCTTCTATGGGGCTTAGAATGTCCGTAACGCTGAAAGGAGTCGAGTGGTGGAGCTGTTGCAAGTGACTGAGAACCTGTGGACCTTGTAGATGCTTTGGGCTCAAGCTCATAGCCAGCTCAACGCCATTGAGCTCGGGTAGCAGGCCGTGGAGGTCACCTCTATCGCCGGGAACTACGGGGCCTTCCCCGTAGCTTCCACCTGAAAAATAAAAACCTATTGAATTCTTGATGAACTCTGGTAGAATCGATGATTTTACAATATTTTGGGTAGGGTTTATCTAAATTGGAAAAAGTGGGTGAAGTAGAAGATACTAAAGTAGTAGAACGGAAAGTAGTCTTACTGGAATAAAATATTTGTTCTCTTTAAATATATATTTATCTCAAAGAAGTTGCCTAGGCTTCTCAGCTATTGTGTTACATTTCTACTTTGTTATTTCTGCCTACTGAATAGGAAAAAAATAGATCATATAAAAGTTTGGAAACAAATATTTAGAATTCGCGTATTCTCTACGGCATAGAAGCAGCCACAAACTAAATAATAAAAAACTATAAAATGAGACCAAAAGTATGGCTGAATAAAAGTTTACTATGAATAACGTATATTCCAACGACCTCTTTGAAAATTTCCCTAAAGAACTGGAATTATCAGAGAGATAACATAGAAAGAAGATGGATGTTATACCTTTACAATTAAAGAGCAGATATTATTATTCAGACATTTATGTCCACTTCTGGACAGAGGCCTTCTCAACAAACTTCAACTTTCTCTATATTGTACGGTTCCAATACAGTCTCCTGTTATTTTCTTTAGATCATACGTCCATCGGGAGATAGTTGTTCTTAGATGCTATTGGTCCGTATTTACAATGTTTTTTATCCATGAACCTGTTTTCCTTGCCAAGTGATGGAACCACATTCATTGTCATCTTCTCTATGATATCTTCTTTTTACTTTTTCCTTGAAATATCTTTATATCTATTTTACATCTCAATGCTGAGCGCTCACTATATTAATGGTAGGAGTCATGCTTTGCTCCCAATTCTTTACTGAGAGAAATGATCTCCCATCTCTTTATCCTTCCAAAACCTAGTTACCTATTTTCGATCCCTCAACATTAGGCCAGAAACGATCATCAGTACCAGCTCAAGGCCCAGAGGAAATGATTCTGGAACCGCTTGAAATTGGACTACAGGTTGTAAGGTACACAGCTTATTCATGACCGGAAGCTGGTAAATACTGAAGCCGAAATGAGAAAGTAGACATGTTGGGGATGAGTAAAGTAAGATGGCCTGGTTCAAGAAAACAAAAAACAAAATATTGCATCTATTATTCAGGGGGAATTGATAAGAACACCAATATGGAACGGCTATAACGACTTCATCCTTCTAAATAATCGGTATCAATGTTGAAATTACGAACAACCCATAGAAACATATATATTATTCAGGTCTATGTTAAAACAAGGCACAAGTAAGAGAAAGGAATCGACTGACAAAAAGAGGCACAAATTTGTCAAATTTAACGTCAAAATTGGTCATGATGCAAGTGCAAAAGGAGAAGACATAGGAGGATACGGTACTAGAAACAATAGGAGAAATAGATTTATACAGTTCTGCGTAGAGAACAATCTGTTAATAGCTAACACTTCTTCAAACAACATTCTAAAAGGCTGTAGACTTAGAAATCCTCTGCAGGTAGAGAAGGCAGAATTGTTACGAATCAAATTGACCTCATTCTGCTCGATCACAATTTTAAGAAGTACACAAAATCTACTAAAACATACCCTGGAGCTGACATTCATAGCGATCATAATCCAGTTATAATGGATTTTAGACTAAAAAGATTTCTGAAAGATAAAATCCAAAAAGTGATAAAAACATAGACATTTTACAACTGAAAAACCCTGAAAGGAAAAAAGAAATGAGTATCAACGTTTAAAAAGAAAGAGAAACAGACGTTGAAGTAAGATGAACTGCTCCAAAAACGAAAATAACAAAGATACAAGAAGAAGATATTGGGTGCACTAAAAACAACAAAAAACATTAATGGATATCGCAAGCGATCATGGACCTCATGGACGTAAAACGAAAACATAAATCAAAACCATTAGAAGACAAACGAATCAATAAAATAATTAGAAAAAAGAGCAGAGAAGCTAAAGAAAACTGAATCTGAAAACTGAATAGAAAACTAAAGATTTCTTTAATGTCATATTTTTGACTGCGTTATCCATCAAAGTATGTCCGAAATTATGAGAACAACTAAGATTAACGAGAAAGACTTGCGAATTATATCAGAACTATATTGGCACCAAACGACACCAATTGAAATAGAACCCAAGACAAAAAAATGGTTTGAATCAAAGAATGAAAATGGTTTAAATCCAAATATTACGAAAGCTAAAATTATAGTATTTTCAAAGATACCCGTAACTTCCATATAATACTTAGGAGCAAATATCAACAACCAATATAACCCAAAAAAGAAGCTCCTATCACGAATCTAACAAGCGAGGAAAATACTCATGAGCATAAGAACATTTTTTACAAGATCAGATCTTAGTCTAGAGTTCAGAATCGGAATGATCAGATGTTACGTCTGCTCTGTCTTGCTGTATGGCTGTGAAAGTTGAACAATGGACTCTAAGCTCTAAAACAGAGTAAGAATGGATCCCTTTGAGATGTATACAGACTGATGCTGAGAATTCCATCGATACAAAAAGTTACCAACGAGGAAGTACTTCGGCGCATAAGTAAACAAAAAGAATTATTAAGCATAATCAAAAATAGAAAAATGAATTACTTGGGTCATGTGTAGAGTGATGGAAGATATGAATTAGTCCAAATTATATTGGAAGGTAAAGTAGAGGGCAAAAGATCAGTAGGACGACGATATAACTTGTGGCTGAAAGACCCGAGAAAATGGTTTGACCTCCCATCCGTAGAAATCTTTCGTGCAGTAGATTAAAAAGCTACAAATGTCATTCGGATCGCTAACTTTCGAAAGCAGATATTAGATTTATTAATAATAAATTAGTTTACTTTCACAGTAAATATAATATAAATACAATACTAAATTGTTCGATAAGACGAAAGGAAGAAAGGAAAGAACACGATTACCATGGATAATGGACATTGAAAACATTAATAATATATTTAAACATAAACTGTAAAAAGAAAGCATTAATAGAAGATATAGAAGAAAGGCACCGAATATGAGACAGGCCCTTAAATACATTTGTGTACGATAGGGTGACATCTAGTGAAAATATTGAAAACTGATCATTCATGCACATGCAGATCTGCTTTCAGTTGACGCTTGGGAGTGATTGTTGTTGTTTTGTTGACGGTAATTAGATTTACACATTTACAAAGTTATTTCGGTGTTTATAAAAACTTACAAGACATCAACGTGAGTTGATTAAATTTACTTCGCTTATTTTTTTTTTTTTTTTGTTTAATATGTTATTACATTTTATGCTAATTAAACGGTAATTGTGTGGCATGCATAACCAACAAAAATACGTTTCATTTTTAACGGAAAAATCCTAATTTGAGATACCTGTAGCTTCCAAATTTGAGAGTGTCTTAAATTAGGACCCTGTGTAAAATTTTTATTTTTTTGTATGTTTTAGTTTTTAGATGCCGAAAAAAAATAAAAAATGAAACGCAAATTATATGATACGGGCTGTAAATACAGTAAGAAATAAAGAGATGGGCTATTTGACGGCCTCAACAGTTTTTGAAGTACCAAAAGATACCTTAGAACGATATGTGAAATCAGACAAGACGCCAGAAGAACTCGTCGGGATATCAATTGGCTACCGAACTATTCTTCCTTTGGAATTAGAAAATGAGTTGGTTGAGTATGCCCTAACTATGGAGCAACGTTATTTCGGGCTTACAACTTGCAATACGAAATTCAATACCACATCCATTTAGCGGAATCAAAAAATCGGCCAGAAATAAATGTTTGCGACTCTTTCTGAACAGACATCCGATGCTTTCAATTCGTACTCCTCAGGGAATGTCACCTGCTCGAGTAAAATCGTTAACTGCTGAAAATATATCGAGGTTCTTTGACCTGTATGAACCAGAATATCTTAAGCTGACTAACCCTGCACAACGTATATTAAATGTGGACGAAACTGGCCTTACAATTTTTTTTATTGAGTTTAATGCTTCGACAACTAATGGTCATTGGCATGGTACAGTGAATTTTTACAGTCAGGTGTGTAGTGTGTGTGTGTAGAGTAATTGTCTCGATACTTAGCAAAGTCGACGTCATTATTTTTGCCAAGAGACGCTAATTGTATCCGAACGTTTGCGGTCCCTCCGGTGAGTACCGATCGCACAAGGATAGAAATTATTTTCATTTATTCATTTTTAATAAACGAAAATTTCCACCCAGGTGAGATTCGAACTCACGACCTTTAGGTTCAAAGGTAGGCGCTCTTACCACTGAGCCACAGAGGAGGTTTGGCCTTACAATTGTTAGCACAAACATAGCAAAGTAATTTCTGTGAGAGGGAAGAAGCAGGTTTTGTCACTTTCTTCAGCAGAAATGGGCAAGCTGATTACTGTTATTACATGTATGAATGCTGTATGAGTTTTCATACCACCATTATTAATCTTCCCTAGAAAAAATATGAAAACAGAGTTGATGCTATGAGCTCCCACTTTAGCAGTGGCAGAATGCCAGGTTGAGTACAGGCCGATATTTTCACTAGATGGCTTCAACACTTCATAAAATTGACTAAGCCTTTAGTTGCAGATCCTGTTCGCCTCGTCCTTGATGGTCACAATTCTCATACGAGAAATATTGCTCTAATAGATTTGGCCAAGCAGAATCATCGATTATTTGCCTCCGACCACATTCTACACATAAGATGCAACCGTTGGAAGTTGCTTTTATGGCACCTCTAAAAACTTACTACGCACAAGAAATAGAAAACTGACTTAGAGAAAATCAGTTGAGTGTTGTGTCGCCTTATGTCGTTGCCAGTATTTTTTGTAAAGCATATAACAGAGTTGCGACGATAGAAATATCTTGAAATGGTTTCCGAAAAACTGGACTGGTCCCTATTTGTCGCTGTATTTTTAGGGACTTTGAATTGACTGAATTTTGAGTTCAAGAGCACTTGGAAACACAAAACGAAATGAACGAACAAATAATAAAACCAAACCATGAACAACCAAA